CGTGATAAAGGCACAACAGCTACAATTTAAGAAAGCTTACAAGAGTTTCCAATTTTCCCGGCTGGGTGTAAGAGAGGGAAACATTTCTATTTGGGGGGGGGGGCAAAGCAGCCGCTCACCTGTCCATCAAAACGAGATCATCCTTGAGCAAAGGGCACTTGGAATTCGGCCACATGACGCTGACCAAACCCCCGGCGGTTAGCAATTCGTCCTGGTGGAGGGCGTGAGCCAGCTGGTTGACCGTCTGAGGCAGGAAAAGAAAGGAAGAGATGGTCCGAGAATAGGATTACAAAGGTGTTTCAAAAATCCAAGAATTTAATAATAATCCATTGGAGAAGGTAGGTGATGGTTGGATAAAACTACTTTTGAAGTAATGGGCCACCTGGACCACCATTTATCCCAGGACCCCCCAACCATGGCAACTTGAATTCTGGGAGCTGAAGTTCACAAGTCTTAAAGTCTTGCTGATTATGTCAACCAAACACCCTCTGGCAGCTTTAGAATAGAATCCCCCCCCCTCCACGTCAACTCATAAAATATTTCTAGGGTCAAAAAGGGAGGGGGGAGCAGTGCAGCAGCTTGGAAATTGAAAGTACGTTCCATAAATGGTTTTTCAAAGATAGTAACTAGGTGACCAAAGTTTCCGCTGAGCAAAAATCCTAACTGGCGAGCGTGTTTGATGACTCTGGGCTATGGATGTGTCCCATTGGAGGATATGAATTGTGATACACCCAGGGGGGTGGGGGGAATGCCAGGGTCAAGGGTGACGATGAATGATGTGTCTCAGAGTCGGCTACACCCAGTCAGTGCCGGACATGTTAACTCCCAATAAATCCTTTGGAAGTTTGGCTCGAGACTCATGATTTAATTGGGGGGTAACTGCCGGAATCCTGACAGCTAGCCGACTCTGAGACTCACAATTCCAAGACACTCCAAGTTTCTTCGATCCTCAATTTTGGGGTCATCCCCACATTGTACCTTGACGCTTTTCTTCTCCTCAGACCCTTCGGTGAGCAGGAAGGCATCCTGGCCGTCCGTCCCCTCCACTCTCAGGAAGCAGTTTGTGGTGTGGCCGATCCCAGAAGGAAGGACTTTATCCCACAGCATGGCGTTAATCACAGTACTTTTCCCGTTACTCGTCCTAAAGATCGCAAAACACAAGAGAGGGAGCCAGTTCCTCCCATTTTATCCTCGCAACAACCCTGCAAGGTAGCCGATATCTGGATGCAGGGACTTCCCAAGGACCTCGCAGGGTCGCTGAACTCCAGGGAACCAAAACACGCCCAGCGCTGCAGTTTAAACATGGACAACTTAAGCTGGAAACTTTGCAGCAAGCCCTGCAGAGTGGACTCAGAATGATGGGTCTGTGTAGTCCAACCCACTTGGAGAGCCTCCGATTCGAGCAAAGCTTTCCAAATGCCAGCAACCGACTCACCGCCCAAAGAAAGCCACCTTCATGTGTCGCCTTGCCAGCACCTCGCTGATCCCGCTGACCTTGGACAGGTAGCCCTTGACTTCTGACACCTGCTCTTCCGTGGTGACCGGGTCAAGCTCCCCATTCTTGTGCGTTTCTGGAAAAAAACAGTACATGTCACGTGGGAGGCGAATGGTTTGAACACCGCAATCCCTACTTCCAGGCAGCTCTTACAACAGCAATACAGAAAAAGGACTTTCTTGAGGCTTTTCCCCAGGGAAAAAAAAAAGATGCCAAGCTTTGAAAGAAGAATGGGCAAAAACCCTCCGCCTGCTTCGGAACTACAAATCCCAGCATCCCTCTGCATTGGCTCGGTTGGTTAAAGTTGCCACATTCAAACCATGCAGGAAAACCTTGACCGAAATCCAGCTGGCTTAGCACACCAGTATGTAGGATGGCGAGACTGGAGGTAGGAAACCAAAACTAAATTTAGGAAAGAAAGGTAGAACTTGAGGAATATGGATAACAGAGATATGGATAAACAGCTTCAACTCTTTCCTTCCTTCTGTGGTTTGTTCCCTCACAGCCCAATTTGAGATTGTAAGCCCCTTGGGGCAGGGACTTGTGTTTGCTACCAATAAAGGAGAATATTTGTAGCTCAGGGTTGAAATAAGGGGCTCCTTGGTGCTCTCTGAGCTGGCTTGTTTTATTGCAGATGTTTCATGATGCTAACTAGGTAAGATGAATGAATTCCGATTAGACACACAAGGAATTTGTCGTGGTGCATCCTAATGCTAGTACTGATGATGCTACCTAATTAGGCTAACGAAACATTTGCAAGGAAACAAGGAAGCCTCAGACAACTCCAAAGACCCCTCACTTATACCTGCATCCTTATAGCAGGCAGCATAACATAAGCAAGAAAATAGACCTACCGTCCCTGTCCTGTTGTTTCTTTTATTTCTTTTATTTTTCTTATATGTATCCATGTATTCATAACTAAGTTTTTACTTATACCTATTATCTTGTAAGCAATTGACAAAAAGAAATAAAATAAATAAATAAATATGGCAGCCAATTTTAAAAGTATCCATGTATTCATAAGTATGTTTTTACTTATACCTATTATCTTGTAAGCAATTGACAAAAATAAATGAAAATAAATGGCAGACTATTTTAAAAACAGAATTAAAGCTAACCAACAAGCGCCATCAAATTTAAGAAAAACCCAACACAAAAGAACAGAACAAAAAGTCAGAAACAAAGAAAATAGAAGTGCAGAAGGCCCCGGATTCAAATCCTAACCTCAGGTAGCAAAATAACTTGTTTAAAACAAGGGTCTTCAAACTTGACAGATTTAAGACTTGTGGATTTCAACCCTCCCAGAATTCCTGAGCTAACGTGACTGGAGGAGGTGTTCTGGGAGTTGAAGTCCACAAGTCTTAAAGCTGTCAAGTTTGAAGGCCCCTGGTTTAAAAAGACACGCTTCTGGGTCTTCTGGATCTGCAGGCCTTCACTCACCTCGTGTGCACAAGTCAGCAAACTCTGTGAAACTTAAGGCCAACTCACCCTCCAGAAACACGGAGCTCTCCTGGATGTAAGCTGCCAGCTGTTCAAAGATGCCATTTATTTTTTTCTTGGCGGTGACAAAATGCTTAAGGGGGGAGGCACTGACGTCCGCCATATGTCTCTTGTCCTTTTTGCTAGTGATGATGGACTTAGAGCGAATGAACAGCAGGGACATTGTGCTAGAAGGGGGAAAAAATGCATGGATTATGTGAAGGAAAGAGGCTCGGTTTACAACCCACCACTCTTCTAATAAATGCTACAGGTAAACAAACAACCATATTTCCCTCTACTGTGAAGGCCTGGTTCTGGCAGAATGCTAATCACTGTATTTTCTACAACGTGTTTGAATCCCACTCAAATGCCAAATTTCCTAAATCTATTAAAGCAGCGGTGGTATTCAGCAGCTTCTGACCAGTGCTGGAGAACTGGTAGTGGAAATTTGGAGTAGTTTGGAGAACAGGGAAATCCCGCCTCCGACTGGGCCCGTTCCCCCATCTATTTTCTGCCTCCCACTGAGTCCCAGTTGATCGGCTGGGTCTTCTTTTGTTGCCCTGCACAGGAGAACGGAGCTGGAAAGCAGGTTAGCGGGGTGGGGAGGGAATGGGGACGTTGCAGGATCCTTCCCCTGCCACGCCTACCAAGCCACGCCCACAGAACTGGTAGTAAAAAAAAAAAAAAATTGAATCCCACCCCTGTATTAAAGGGACCGTGGAAAAGTTCTATATTATGGACTCGAGAGATTTCCCAAATGGGAGGAGCAAAAAGGCTGGATTTCTGGGAGAAGGCTAGAAGAAAGCTGACATTTATTTTTAATTGCTCTGAAATCTCTAGGCCTTTCTCCCCAAATAATCCTCTTGAGGATTAGAGTCAGAGTTAGCAGCACCACCGGAAACCGGAGTCTAATCAGTTCCAATTCTGAAACGCCTCTAATGCACTTACTATTAAGATGCAAGCAGGAGTTTTTATAAGCTAAGCATGGTTACCCTCTTCTGTCCTGAGCGGGTGAGGGCAAGTGGTGGTCTAAGGAAAGGAAAATAAGAGAAGATTAGAAAATGCAGGGGGTGAAATCTGAAATGGCTTGAAATCAACCATGAACGAGCAAATGGACATAAATCACCCTGATATAAAACAAATTTAGGTTTCTTCCTCACAGGATGTATATTTCATAACGACAAGACACCTGTAAAGAGAAGTTTTTGGCAGGTTTCCCGCCAAGACACTTTCACTGTTGAATCAACCTGGATGGCTCAGTTAAGGAGAGGCTTCCCTGCCAATCCTGAAATGCTCCATCATGCACTGCCTGGGGATGTGTG